TCTCTCTCTCTCTCTCTCTCTCTCTCCTTTGTCGTTTGTTATAATAACCCTGAGCATAGAACAGTTGTTCTCATTTTTTTGCCAAGATTTGATGATTAATGCTAATAAAATTTGAAATATAAACGAGACATGGTAATGGAGGTTCAAATCTTTATGAATTTTATTTTATTTCAAAATTTAATTTATATTAAAAATTTCATTTTTATATTATTATTCAATATTTGAATGTGTACCTTAAATGAGTTTTTAATAGTCTATCTTAATTAAAACAATCTGAATAAATGTTAAATGTTTAAACATAAATCTTAATAAATTCTAAATTTTTAGTTTCATTTTAAAAATAAAGAATGTGTAGCTATACAAATTATCTATTTTTAAATAGATTTTCCCGATTTTTTACAGAATTTATTTTCTGGTTTATTGTTAATTTGACTAATATGAGTAATCAAAATTAAATGATTCATATTTTATACAAATATTTAAAAGATAGGAATATAACTTATATGTTATAAACTTGTAATTCGTATTTACGGTATTCGTATAAAATAGTCATTATTTGTAATACAGTAGCATTTATGTACAAAATATTTATTTTATTAATATACCTGTACATATTTTCAATTGATTTACTTATAACTTTAATTTTAAATATTCTATTTTTATAAATTATAATGTAAAGTCGTAACAGTTTTTATTAATAATATAGTATTGTAAACAAATTGTAACATTAGTATTAAACTAGATTTTAGTTTTTTCTAGTTTCTAAACAATAACAATTATCGTCACTTCAATATGAATTGCCGGTAATTTATAAAATTTTATATTTTCAAGTCATCTCTTGAGAAACAATATAACATAAACAACTAGTTTTAAATTGTTTATTGACATTAGTGAAAGCAACTGATAGATAGTTAGATAACTTAACTCATAGATAATGCTAATTAAGGCTATTATGATTTATAACATTATCAAATCTAGTTAATGAAATAAAATATCGTTTTAATGAATTTAATTTTATTTTACTTTAGAAATAAATTAAATTTATTAGTTATTAAAATTATTGTCTTTTTAAGCTTTTCTTGACTTTCATTTAACGAAAAAATTATTTTTGTCATATTTTATAGACATATAAATTAAAAAGAATAAATAATAAATATATACTATTGGATAACTATTTGAAAAGTGAATTCATTATTGCTTTAATAAAACATTGGATAAATGTTGTATTGGTATGTTGTTGAGGCAAATATTGGTTTAATTGTTAAATTGACCTAAAATTCACAATAAAGATATGACATCTCTTGAATTCTTTATTAAAAGAGACTTTTTGTTGGTTTTCATTGCTATATCACTATTGAGGTTATTAAATGAACTTATTCTCTACTGTTTTAGGCGTCGTCTCACATTCAAAACATTTTACATTCAAAATATTTTACATTCAAAATATTTTACTACAAATTTCATTCATTCACTTTTTGTTGTTAGTTTATTAAATCATTATTAATACAAACAATCATTTGTATTAATCATATTATATTATATTGTTTTTAAAACATTGCAATTAAAGTATAATTACTGTATTATGCCGATACTTAATTGTTAAAGCTTATTAGCCTAAAATTTATGAAAAATACACGAACAGAATCTGAATTTATATAAGGAATTATACAATGTAAATAAATAAGTGAGCCTAAAATGAATTCTTAAAAATAAATATTTACTTTTAAGGAATTCATTAATACAATAGTAATATTAAATTAATTTTTATTTATAAAATAAATACTAATGTAAACTAAATATTTGTTCTTTATTAGGTTTTAAAACCGATTTTACATTTGTTTCTATTTTTCAACATTGGATTACAAATAACCGAACCAAAAAGGATATTAAGTATACATTTTCTCATTGCCATAACTCATACAAACTTTTATAATACATATTTTATATTTTGTTGGTAATAGTTAGTTTTACACATTCCTATTACGGTATATTAAAATTGTAAAGTAATCAATCTGATATATGAAATATGTCTTGTTAAAGCTTAATATTTAATCTATTTTCTTATATTGAATCAATTTGCTTATTGTAATTACAATTTTATAAATTTCATGTATTAAAATTATATTACTGCTAAATATGAAATTTAACAAATATTAATGAAATGATGAAATGTTTCAGACCCTCATCTTTTAAATCAAAAGCTCACATCAAATGCCAAACCAAACAAGAAGTTGGTTTGTTATTACACTAATTGGTCACAATATCGACCAAAAGAAGGCAAATATTTGCCTGAAAATATTGACCCTCACATCTGCACACATATTATATTCAGGTATATTTTGTGTTATAATTTGAAAATATCGGAAATTGTAAAATTACATTAAAAACATGTTATATTATATAAATGGCTAAAATTAAGTTAAGATAAGCGATAATAACTTGCGATAAGTGTTTTAAACACTGATGTGATTGATATGATTGCAGCTTCGGATGGATGAAAGCCAATAAACTGACCTCATTTGACGCCACAGATGAGACCAAAGCCGGCAAAAAAGGCACGTATGAGAGGGTTATTGATCTCAAACTACAAAATCCTAATCTCAAAGTATTACTCGCCGTCGGTATGTCTACCAAAGTACTAATAATACATGCATTCAATGACACTCATATATCTTACCGTTAAGGGGGATGGAGTTTCGGTACCGAAAGATTTAAAGTGATGTCTGCCAACAGATACAACAGACAAGTGTTTATCTTCAGTGCAATGGAATACTTAAGACAACGAAATTTTGATGGTATGACAAGTGATCACATATTATGACAACAAAACTTATTTGGATCTTAAACCAGGTCTGGATCTGGACTGGGAGTTCCCCAAGGGTTCGGACGATAAAAAGAATTTTGTCGATCTATTAAAGGCATGCATTTCAATGTTTAATAATACAGAATATTTTATTATATTTAATACTATTTGACAATAAAATACAGGAATTGCGGGAAGCGTTTGAAGCCGAGGCTAAAGAGAAGAAAATGCCGCGACTTTTACTGACGGCCGCCGTATCTGCCGGCTCTGACACCGTTCGCGGCGGTTATGACGTGCCCGCAGTCGCAGCGTATGAATGCTTTCATCGGTTTAAAGATTTGAATTTCCATTTGAGCGCTCATTGGATCCGATGTAGTGATGGACTCGAACTTCGGCTCATTTATTGCTGACATCTCAGCGGATGAGTCACTCAAGTCCTCCTCCCAGTGATCACCCGTTGGAACCGTTAGGACAGTGTATGTGGTCTTAAGAGCGGTGACCGTCGAGTCAGTCACGACGTTAATGGTGTCCGTTGTCTCGGTTTTCGACGCTATGGTGATCGCCATTAAGCCGACTTCCGCTGAAACACACCACACATGAGATGATAATCAAAGACATCTTCACCGCAAATGTCAATACCATTCATACGAATCACTTTGTCCTCCATATCCTTGAATTGATCCTTAAATGCGTTCAGATCTTTGCGCAACTGATCCGTTTGGGTCGACAAGAGAGGTATCGACTCGTTTGTGGCCATCGGGTGAGTGGATCCGCTCGAAGACATCACATGAAAGACAATTCGTGTCACAAATGTCCACAACTTGTGACCAAAACTTCGATTCGAATACAAATTGTTTGCAAAAATTTATTCAAACTTTCGGTTCAATTGCCAAAAGTTACGCAAAAACTTCGCATTTGTGTCGACAGAAAGGGCGCAAACATAGCGCGCATTTAGTCGAGTGTTGCGCCCTTTTGTCACTACAATACTCGTGAGTCGTGTGGAGCCCTCTATGGAGTGACTCATGAAACGCATAAATCATATGTTTTAACAGTTTTTGTGTTATGTTTTTGAATGACTTTTTGACACATTTGATGACTAATTAAGTGATATTTGCATCCATTTGATCACTCCAGAGGAATACCATGTCTTCACTCTTGGATCACATCAAACAATTACATTCGGATCAGTTGTTCACGAATTTGGTTCAGTTTGTAAGCACTCATTGATTATGATCTCCAGAATTGAGTGGATTTGTGGCTAAATGTGATTGTCTTGTATCAGATGAACCTCTTGTCGCCTCAGATGGAGTCGAGTGAACTGTTTTCGCCATCAAATGAATACAAAGTACTCGTCTTTTACGGCGACGCTCTCTATCAGACCAAAGACTACCGAAGAGCTGAGGTTTGTGTCCAACGGATCCATTCGTAGACAATGTCTTAATAGGAAAACCCAATGCCATTCCTCAACAGCGCGTATATCACAGGGCGTTATCACTGAAGAAGAATACGCCGAAGAGTAAGCGCAAGAGTCAGAGCAACGGTTCCACTGATTTGATCGCCGAGATTGACGTGAAATATCAGATCCATTTGTGTTTTCTGAAACAACAGCAGCTCTCAAACGCTGCCATCGTTTTGGAGAGCATTCCTCTGAAACACGTATGTCTTGTGGTGACCACTCTGTTGTCGCTTATCTTAACCGCACTTCTGTTTGTCAATTGCAGCGAAACTCGCGAATCAATATGTCTTTGGGAGAGATCTATCGCATGGACCGCAACCCAAGTGCTGTCAACTGTTTCAAAGAAGTGCTCAAAGAGTCGCCGTTTGCGTTGACAGCGATTCACCACTTAATCAAATTAGACGTCAAAGTCAATGATATCCTGAGTATTGTGAACACAGCCATAGCCAGCACACCTGCCATGTCATGGCTGAGCACTTGGATTCGGGCGCACTCTTACATGAACTCGATTCAAGTGGGGAACGCCATCACACTGTTGCGCCAGTTGTACGACAACCCACTCCTCAAAGGCAACACTGAGATTATGGTGTCGTTAGGGGAGGCCTACTATTACAGCGGCGACTATAAGAAAGCCATTCACTTCTTCAAGCGGGCCTTCACTGCGGACCCAATGCTCGTCAGAGGACTCGACTTCTATGCGTCCGTTTTGGCCAAAGAGAGTCAACTCAAGGAATTGGAGACTCTTTCCAATCAATTGGTCCAAAGATGCAATTCATTGGAATCGGTGGCCGAGCCATGGGTTGTGCTCTCATATTACTGCTATCTCTCCAACAAAAAGGAATCCAAATCTTATTTTTTCGCTCAAAAAGTCAGTGATTTTTGATTCATTTAATTGTTTTTAAATGTTAATAAATGGTGTTTCCATTGGAAGGCATGCACTCTAAGCAATAACTCTGTCGAAGCACTTCTACTGAAAGGCATGATTTTATCGGAAAGTAAGCGCTCAGAAGCCAAGACTTGTTTCCTAGAGGCACATACCAGTGCTCCGCATAGATTTGAACCAATCAAGTGCTTAACGGAGATATATTTGGCCGATAATCAGAAGCAATCGGCCGCTAATATGGCAAACGTTGCGCTCAAGACATTAGGACATTCCCCCCGAACACTCACTGTAAGACTCATTACTTTAATATAAATTTAATGAATTAATTGAATGAATGGATTCTGTGACCAACAGTTAGTCGCCTCTGTATTCCTCACCGATTCTGTAAATAACGAGAAGTCTAAGGCTAAACAAGCGTTGGAAAGGGCTGTCAAACAGGACTCGACGTATTTGAATGCCGTTTATTTGCTCTCAAATCTGTATTTAGAGGAAAAGAATTTCGATAAAGCCATTGAAATGTAAGTCATTTATGCCTTGAATTTAATAACTGAATGAATTGCTCTTATATTTTGACTTTTGTTTTATAGACTAAACAAAGCGATCGAAAGCAGTGAAAGTAACGTTAAATTACATAAAATGTTGAGTGAATGCTATTTAGGAAAGAATGAACACGAAAAGGCATCACACCATCGATCCATTGTTTCAAAGTATGCCATTTAACACTTGATCTCAATCTCAAATCAATTGCTTTTCAATTCAATGAAATACTAATAAATTTTTTTATACTATTTGTTATGAAAACAGATTAGAACTGAGTTACAGAAATTCAAACGAGAGTTCCCAACGACTTGAACACCAGTCGCACACCGGCGGCGATACTGTGAGCTCTACGCTGGACCTGGAGGTGGACGACATTCCCCCGTCTGATGACGACGTGGACGAGAGTGAGACCGACGTGGTTTGGTCTGACGATAACTATAGTGTTACGTAAACATGCAATTCACTGATCATTAGATTACGCTGGACCTGGAGGTGGACGACATTCCCCCGTCTGATGACGACGTGGACGAGAGTGAGACCGACGTGGTTTGGTCTGACGATAACTATAGTGTTACGTAAACATGCAATTCACTGATCATTAGAATAAGAAATGATTTTTATATTCAATTTTATGACATTTTAATAAAATAATATTCATTTTGCAATTATACGATCAAATATATAATACAGTAAATCATTGAATAAAAACATTTATATAAAAACATTGTATAAATTCATTGTAGAGTTGCATTAAATTGATAAAAATATTGACTTAAAACGAATGCAAATCGCATGCATTAAGTGATAGGATCTGATCGGACCTCAACACATGAAAGAGTCGCTCAAATGGCGTGAACTGAATTAGAGTGGATTTACTGCCGACGAGCACCAGTTTCCTCTTGGCTCGAGTGAGCGCCACATTCAGACGCCTTTCATCGTTCAGTATCTCCTGCGAAGACATGCGAACATTTGAATTACTTCTGACACACGAATACAACACAACTTCTTTGTCCCGGCCCTGGAACTGATCCACAGTATTCATCTCAAGACTGTCCACATCGAGAGAGTCTCGTAAGAAGCGCACCTGTCGATTATAGGGACTTATGACTCCTATTTGTTGGGCTGTTATCGAGAAACACTTCAATAGGTTTGTGACCAGAATTTTAACAATTTTAGCCTCAATTTCATTGAACGCCTTTCCTTTGTTGTCGCGGACCTCTGGGGCCGGTATTGAATCGGTTTCGATAAACACTACAGATTTGGACAAATCATTGTGGAGTACGGCTGACAACCAGTTATTTGGTGTCAAATACGACGAATCGGTGGCAATAAGTGTCTGATTGGAGACATCGATTGACGAGCACTTGAGAACTCCATTATAAGTGAATTCATTACTAATTCGCATAATTTCTGAGTTCATTCTGTACTGAATGGTTAGATCCGTAGTGTTTGACTGGTTTTGGAGCAAAACAAACAAACTCTGCTCCAGACCTGAGCGCCGGGCGGTCTCGCTCTGGACCACAGGCGGCAGCTGTTTGTGATCGCCGACCAATAGGAAGCGCTGGCAGTGGAACAGTGGTCCCAAACAGGTGGGCAAAAGCACTTGCGAGGCCTCGTCTACTATACAGTAGTGGAACGTCCGTCGATTGAATATGGGGTGACCGGACACACCTAAACAAGTAGAGGCAACCACTTTGACATTCGAGTAATAGTAATCCAACTCTTGGACAGTCGTCAAACTGGACGTCTTGGCCGCAACGGTATACGAGTGCAGCTCCGGGTCCACGCGTTTCTCGGATCCGATTCGCAGAAAATCAATGCCAATGTCTTGTTGTTTCAGTTTCAACAGTATGTTATCGACCGCCGCGTGAGTATAGCTCGTGATCAGAACCGACTGATCCAATGCCACCAGAAGTCGGATGAGAGCTACGATGGTCTGTGTTTTGCCGGCGCCGGGCATTCCTCTCAGCAATAGATAGGTGTCAGTCGTCAGTGCATTCAATATAGACTTTTGTTGCTTTAGGTTCAAAGTCTTGAGGATATGTTTGCCTTTCGTCACGATTTGTCGCTTCAATTTACTGCAATGAATGACCGCTTGTCTCGCGATTATAATGTTTCGCAGTCGTGTCGACTGTTCATCGCTGGAGTCCATCAGACGCAACAAATTCGTGTAATTACTGGACATCAGACCAGTGCTCGACATGTGATCGATTCGGTACAACCCTTTCAGTGGCAGTGAGTTTGCGTTTCTGTCTAAAATCACTTCAATCGCCTTCTTATCGATACGTTTTATAAATCCCATCAAAAGTGCGATTCGTTTCGTTTGATGGCTTTCCTGTCCGTCGCCGCTATTGTCGCCACTAATGACCACTCGTTCCCACCGACGCATCACATTATCCGTCAAATTAAAGTCTTTAATATCACCGCAAAACTTATGAGATCTCACGAAAAGTGCCAAATCCTTGTTCACAGACACGAGACTTAGTTTCCCAAAACCCAGTCCTTTAGACTCCCTTTCCATTGAAGACTGCGTCCAAAAATTTTAATATCACCGCAAAACTTATGAGATCTCACGAAAAGTGCCAAATCCTTGTTCACAGACACGAGACTTAGTTTCCCAAAACCCAGTCCTTTAGACTCCCTTTCCATTGAAGACTGCGTCCAAAAAGCAGTCCTCGAGTCGACGTCTCTCTCCAGAACTTGTTTGGACTCAATATTCAATAAAGTGATCCATTTCTTGAAGAACTCCAAGTCAGCGGTCGATAAATGAGACAACACTTGAGGTATGAGTTCCTCAGACATGACCGGAGATTGAGGCAAATGGTGTGATTCCAGTGTCTTTAAAGTGAGACAACAGTCGAGCAAATGCTCGCATTGACCGCACGTGCGCTGAGAGTTGAGTGGTTGTGGACCCGACTCGATGTCTGTCCAATACTTCACTAAATTGTTGCGCATTTGAATCAAATCCCGTTTCACCGCACGTTTGGTCACAATTTTGCGCATTTGTGGCCTCTCTTTGAGGTACAGAAGGAGTCCCTCATTATGGGCTCACGACAGGGAGAGCAGGTTGTACTGACTCATCTCCGGTTGGACAGGGTGCACAAGCAGGCTTTTCCTGCGGAAAGGGCAGAAGTCGAGGTTACCGTAGCATTCGGAGCAGACGTATAACAAGACATTTATGGACACTTTGACCGTTAAGTCGACGATCCCTTTCAGACCCAATCGAGTGCTCCAAACACTGTCCTCGATGTCCAACACTTTCAACACCTGAAACTTGGGCTCACTTTCACTTTGACTCCTCTGCGGTTGACTACTGTCTTCAATGGCAGACATATTATACAGATATTTATCCATCCATTCGGCAATTGTGGCCAAATATGGAGTGATGTCTTCGATGGCATCGGCTTTAGTGATACCAATGCCATACAAATCGGTGTTAAACTTGTCTAAAACCGAGAGGAATAGTGCGCCGATTGCATCGATTCCGTGGATTCGTTGGCGACACGACTCTTGAAACAAGTGGTGAACAATGGTTCGCTAACAGTAGTAAGCCAAGCCAACTCTGGTAGGCGGCTTGAAGCGGCTGTCGGTACAGAAAGCCTGTGTTATAAATCGCCTGTAATTCGAGCACTAGCTATAGTTGTGTAGCCCTGAGGCCTACTGGAACCCGTTGTCGTTGTCCACAACCAGTCGGTTGCTCTCACTGTCGTGTTTGGCGTCCAACACGTGTACGACATCACCGCTGTTCACATCACATCCAAACCAGAAGTCACTCAAAACACAGTCAATGGACTCTTCAGTGTTGGCCACAACTGGTCTCAACTTGAGGAACAGTTTACGCCTTTCGTAGTCTCTCACCTGATCCACGATTGAGAACCGATACGACAACTGGTGTGTCATTGTGTCTGTGAGTGTCACCGCCGATGACGGTGTCTTAAGCCGACGGTTCCGTTAAGACAACGTAAACCTCATTAGCGCTCAAAATATCAAATGTTTTCTATTGATGTAAACGCAGACAATCTGTTCACACATTGCAGTCAATTATGTGCCGCATATTAAACCCCCAAAACTTACGGCCCTATTCTCGCCCTCTATTACGAAACGCATAGATATTGTGCCCTTTGATGAGTGACCGTACGTTACATATGAACGCAATGTCTATGCGTTTCAATAGTACAGCCTTTTGGCGCATAAAATACACAATGAATTGAATGAACGCATAAAGTGTGAGACTTTGAGCCTAAGACTCACACTTCACTCAACACTACAACAGATAACCCTCTCTTCACATGTCTTACGATTGTTTGCAATCCTTTCACTCCTTTTAATCCATTCATCGCTCCATTAATCGCATCGAAATCATGAGTGAATCGCCCGACAAAGCAGTAAGTGATCCATGGGTTTGACATCTCTTTGTTTTGTTTACTTTACGGGCATTTAATCCATGGTTTGGCTCATAGGTTGAGAAGACGGTCGAGAAGACGGTCGAGAAGACGGTCGACAGCGACGACAAACAGCCGCGCGATAGGACTGAATCGGAGTCATCTAATCCGGACATACACTTCGAGCCCGTCATTCAGTTGCCATTAGTGGACATCCAGA